TCGTACGTTATGTTGCAATTATATACGAAAAATATAACAAAATTTGTTATTATGTCATAAGACTGTTAAAGTACAGTTACATTACATAAGTACAGCAGTATTATATAACACTGTGATGGTAACGTTGTGTTGGAATTAAATATGAAAGTTATAAAAAAAATTGTTGTTATTATGTACACTATAAGCACAAGTAAAAAAAGTAAAAACGCGCAACGAGATCCATGCAGCCCCTCTGCCTTGACGTAGAGGGAGTATAGGGAAATATAACACTCAGAGCCCTCTTATGGATCCTCCTATCACTCGATTCCAACCGCTACCTACTTTAACCCCTACCAGGTGGCGCAGCACATTTAATTTCCCACACAGTTTTCGTCCAGTACCCTGATAAAGGCTACTCAGCCAGTGTCACTGCATGGCGTTTGGAACGCAGGAATAATTGCTGACACAGGTGGAGAAGTGTGTTCCGAAGGAACATGGACAGTGTATTTCATATGGTCTTAAACGTGAAGGCACTCAAGGCAGAAATTCCACCAGAGGCCAGAGTTTTCAAGCGAAAAACGGGGTATCATTCCAATTCCACTAAATAAAATCATGTTAAGCAACGTGCTTTAACCTTGAGCAAAGTTGAGCAATACCGGTAATCTAATTTAAAATGATATAGCAAGAATATAACAAAAGTATAACAAAGTTGTATAAGTTGAATATAAGTCCAATTTCCGCTTCAAGCAACTATAACGACGACATAACGGTTCATTAACATAACGTCTCTATAGACGTTCTATGGATGTTATGTTTTTGCTAATTATCCTATTTTATAACTGTTACAGTTCAGTTACATTTAAAAAATGCATCATATGTTTAACAGTTATGTTACGGTTACATAATATTTGCAGAACGTTAGTGTAACAAAATTATATAACTGTATTGTCGTTAAATTAGTTTGAGGCGGAAATTGGAATATAGTCGTTAGGTTGATGTTATGATAGTGTTATATAATCTGTTACATCTTTTGTAAAAGTATTATGTTGTCGTTATAGTTTTGTGTTTGCTGGGTAACGTGTCTTCATTCTACCACTACCCACTCTACTTTTGGGGTGCAAAATTTCGTGAACGCTTGGCAGTGTCTCCTGTAAACCATCGTCGTAGCCTTTGACATTCTTGCTGTACTTGTTTCCTTCTTCAGTCACTGGGAGGGGGCTCCCTATATCTCCCGCAGTTCTTCCGATGATCTGTGATTGCATCTGCCCTGTCTCCTTAATCTTACGTCTTTTAACCGCCGCACAGGTCCTACACTTCTTGCATCAGCTCTCGACGTCTTCCCGGCAACGGACTACCTTCGTTGTGTATTTCTTGAAGTACTTCCTTGGTTCGAATAGCCGGAACCACCAATTGCATAGTAACATGACTTTCCCAGGCTCGCTTAAGCAATCCGTTCTTGACACGCAAAGAGTCTCATTGAGCCTTGAAAGAAGGTGACTCGTCTGATATTTCCGACCAGCCAGGCCGTTCTATCTCATCTTTTTGCTATCTGAAGAGCGGCCAAATATCCTCGTCTTCCTCCTGGTGCTTTCTACACAGAACTGTAGTCCATCCATCATCTTCTACGACTGCTTTCCTCCTGTGGTTGAACCGTGCTTTGGGTCGCTCAACCTCGTCGCAGTTCTGATAAGCGATCAATCTTGCAGGCTTCGCTTCAATACAACGCTGATTCAGCTTGAACTATTCATTTCCAAGACGTAGGACTTCCTTCCCTCACTGTCATTGTCAGTTCATGGCGGCTAATCAAATCCATCCCAAAATGAAGTTATCTTCCATGCTAGCAACGAGAGTCCGATGTCTTATTCTTAGCTGACCAATGCCAATTTCTATCGATACTTCGCCCATGATCGGCGTCGACTCTCCAGGTACAGTTTTCAATTTGATTGTTTCGGGTATAGGTTCTACATCTTCAGCTCTCAACGAGTTCTTTACGTACCTCAGCACCAATATCAATGGTGATTGCTGCTGGATTTTTATAAATCTTCCCCGGTAGACGACTACCTCTGGTGAAACCTCTTATTTTCACTTCAGCAGCGACCCCATTCCCTAGAGTACTGGCTTCTTTTGGAGATCGGTGACATCTCTGTTGTGGGGCCATACCTATAGGATTCCATGCTTTGCTTACTAGACATATCATTCTTCCGTCGTTGGAAGAGGCCACCTATATGCTGTAACAATTTTTCTAGCAGCTTCTCTATCTTGTTGTTTTTTTCTTTCTCTGTTTTTGCTACGCTGACTTTGTACGCACGAATCAAGGCCGCAGATGATGTCTAAAACCTTGATAGTTGTAAGACCTTCTTAACTTCAACGTCGCGAATGCCATTTACGAACGTTTCTGTAGCAAGCCTCTCTTGAAAACTTGGTGATCCGTCTGAGTATGCAAGACGCAAGACGTACCAGTCTCTTGACACCTGCTTCAAATTCTTGAAAGGATTCTCCAACTTTCTGGGTTTTTGTCTCCACTTGCGTTGCAAAAACCTGTCTCAAATGTTCATTCCCAAGTCGAAGTTCCAGAGCAGCACTTAGGGCACTATATCTGTCTCTATCTTCTTCAGGAAAAGTTTGGAGTACTATCTCAGCGCTTCGCAAAGCTATCACCAAAGCTGTAACTTTTTGTTCTTCTTCCCAGAGATTTGTCGTCGCTGCTGTTTCGAACTGCTTCTTGTATGATGACCAAGGTGTCTGACCATCATAAGTGGGTGGCTGAATTGTTCTGTGAGACATCATCACATTGCATGGACTGGTTGTTGTTGCATTTCTCATTATCTTTTCGAATTTCTTCATTTTGTTCTTCATCCTATCTTCTATACATTCCACTGATTTTTCTAACTCACTCTTTAACTGATGCTCCATTGATGCCACATTTCGTCCGACAATATTTTCCATAACTTTAATTTGTTCTTTAATTTCGTCTGTTACATTCCTGTTTGCTTCCACTTCCCTTTAGAATTAAGTCTCGATAGGCATAAATTCTTCCGAATTCTTTTCCAATCTGCCCGGAAGTCGTCGTTAAACCAGTTATTAATCTCAAATCTCACTTCCGACACCAGTGTTACGATGATCGGTTATTAAAATTGGCGTGGGTAAAACTCAACAATTTATTTTTTATTGTAACTCAAATTTACACGACTAATTACACAGCGATTATAAACAAAATAATTCCGGCGCAACTTTACTGGTTTTTCAACGATTAATAAAATATATTAATTAATCCATATATTATTATTGCCAATAGAATTTCTAATTTGTTTAATTACCTGTAAATTAAAAAATTTATGTTAAAAGTTTTTAAATAAAAATTCTAGTGCTCACCATATCGTAATCTTTTGGTAAATATTTTTTTCTCACAGTGCTTTCTGAGGGTCAATGCCTTCCTGTATATTTATGCATAAAATTTTTAAACTCAGGACAACTAACCTTATTCCATGGAATATTTGCTGCGGTAAATGCCCTACATAAATCGGTGCAACATTGCGTAAAATCATTGTCGGAACTAATGTTTAATAAAGTCTGTGTACTGGATTTATTCTCGTTCTTTTTATGTGCATTTAAGTGTGATTTTTTTTCACACTTAAACTAGGAAACAAAAATGTGAACATAATTCAAGCTTCAGTATTTTAAATGTTTACTTACAACTTTTCCACACACTTTGCAGAATAACTCACTGTCTTTGGTTGAAGGAGGAAATTGAAAATTAGTGTCCAAATTATTCCCTAACCATAATTTGATTTTATCTTTCATAGATGATTTTACCTTAGGCATTTTGAGGATTCTTTACTGTATGCACAAAAATAAAAACCGGCTCCAGCACACTCACTAACACGCAAAGACACTCACTATCACTAACAATAAACTTCTAAAATAAAATGCTTTTTCAGAGATTCACCTCCTTCCGGCTATAATCTAAATGAAATGCATGCCAGCGTTGTCAGTTGGGGACACCAACCCGTACCACTAAACTCAAGGGCGTTGTTTACAACCCATTTTTAAACAATCTGCCAGCCAAAACAATGAATTGACGGAAAATCTTTATTGTGCAAGCACGTTCGCTTCGTTGGTCGTGGAATCCTATTTTAAGCCTTTTAAAATTTACAATTAGATCGTTTAATTAACACTTTAGGTCTCTAACGGTAAATTAGGCATTTTAGGTAGTAATAAATGGGCATTAAATAAACAGAATTTTTTAAATTCGGATAAATATATAGATTCGCTGGACTGCCTGAAGTAGATATAAAAAAGCAAAAAACCTAAGATCCGAAGCCTACTTATAATTTAAACATTTCAAAGTTGTCAATCATTCGTAAAGTTGTGACTTAAACTTAAGGTGGAGCTCCATCTTCCAATCCTGTCTACATTAATGCGATCAAAAATAGAAATTTATTATATTAGGAATTTAAGTGATATTTTATGTGACGGAGTATGGACGATTAAAGGCCGAGTGATAGCGAGGCAAATTAAATCTATTTCAGTCAGATGAAGTCACTCCGAATGAAATACAATATTTTATTTTCAAACGCTTAATATCCTTGCTTCGTTAACAAAGTAATCATTCGTCCAATGGACTCGATTAATTGGCTTAATCTCAGGAAGTAAAAACTATTTAGCATTGACTTAACCATGGTCATTATCGCTGAAACCACGATGATTTTCACAAAAACGCATTCTGTTTATATTCTGACCGAATATAAGTAGGACGCTGCTCAAATACCCTGTCATAGAAATGAGACTTATTAAACCCTGGTTAACCAGTCTAACAAGTGCCATTTATATGACATTTGAAAATAAACAAGATTTTCAAGCTTATTTTGAAAAATGTAGCATTTTAGTCCAATTTTTAACAGTATTCTTTAGGGATAGTACAAGTTTTTTTTTACAGAAAAAATGGGTTTGCTTATATGTGAACCACTGCATATTTTTCTTAATACTACTCAAAATATTAAACAGAATAAAAAAACACAAAATTGGTTAAAATTATATATTTATCAAAACACAAAAGCAACAAACAAAAGCTCAACAAAAATGTAAAAGAAACAGTAATAAAATAACATTTTACACTCTACGATAACGTACACTTTAATATCATATTACCACTACTCAAGATTTTTTAATGAAATTTCAAGTGGCGCTAAACGTGTGTCATTTGCAGATGTTGGAAGACAAGAAGTTTTAACAGTTATTGTACTCGTTCTGGGGCTCACCTTTCTCCCTGTTCTTCGCGCCCGGATATTAAAAACTCCATAAACCACCGGATTCATGCAAGAATTTGTACAAGCGAACAAGAACAGTCCTCTTTGTACTCTCTGGTCCACTTTCAGCGCCGATGTTTTGTCCAGCCAGTACCTATGAACAAAAAAGACAATAAATGATTGCTTTCGTCGCAATTTTTTTGCAAACCTTGCTTGTGTCATTATTTAACGTCATGTCTAGTGAGTTGTAAAACTGCTTTGTTATTGTGTATGGGATAAAAGAAGGGATCTCAAGGACTCTCGTTAAGGAGGATCTCTAGGGACAATGCATACAAACAAATCTGTCAGTCTAGGGTCGAGTGGTAATCATATTCTCGATTATTATACGTCACGTGTGGTGCTTGTTGTTGGACGAGCCTATCGATAAATTCTCTAGATTTCGTAGTAAGGGCTAAATTTACGTTACTTAACTTGGTAATAAGCGTTAAAAGGGATCAAGTGAGCTCAAAGGTAAATTTAGTTCCTGTATCGATAAATTCTTGGAAATTTATTAGTACGCTTGAACTAATTTGCTTATTGGAGCTTAATACAGGTAAAATCAGTATGATGGGACGGAAGCGTATTACGTGGAACATTTATATGTATTTTTTTAACCCCAGAGTGTTTTTGTTAATACAAAACTAAAAGTATATTTTTGGATATTGACAAACAATTTCTACTCTGAACAGAATGATTTCGTTTTTATTTTTTTATAAATTAGACAGATTGCTGCTTTAGATGCAAATCTAAAAAGAATAGTTACACCCACAGAAAAAGTGTTTTTTGAATCTTGTTATATCAATATGCTAAAAAAAATACATTCGCCTTCGAAAAGTTTAACAGACTGAAAAATTGGTTGAAGCTTATTTCGACAGAACTTCCCTCTCCCCTAAAGCACAGTCTAGCGAATCTTGTTTCTTCGAAAATTTGTAAAATTTGATTTTGCCACATTTTACTTATGAGAAACTCTGTAGATAAACTAATGCAGACATGTAGACACGAATCATGTTCATATTGCAAGTCCGAAGTCGTAATCTTTAATCGTCGCTTTCACCATCGCCCATAAAAGATTGTTATACAGTCTAGATTTTTTACGAAAATTATTTTGATGTCGAGGGTAAAAAATTAAGGCGGATTCATAAATCAGGATTATAAGATGTAGGTTATAAAATTTAAATGGTGTTAACTAAAAAAAAAAAAACGTCATCGAATTGTTGGTGGGGATAATTAGACAAAAGATTAACCACGGCCCACCCGTCCCGATCACAATTGTGATGAATTTTCCATTGGTTGTTAGACCGAGGGGCGGAGCATAATTGCAAAATACATATTTCCCTACAAAAATTTTACATTTTGTACTTGTTTTAAGTTTCTTGTTGTGAAAAGAAGGCAACGTATGATAAAAAAAGTAAAATATAAACCCCGCCCACCCACCCTATCTCATTTGTGATGATTTATTTTTTATTCGTCGTGTGAGTCGGTAGGCAAAGCTTCATTGCAAAATGCTTATTTTTTTTTATAAGAAAATGCTATGTAAAACATGTTCTTCTTAAGTAATCGTATTCTTTAAAGAAAATTATACGTTTTGAGTAAAAAGAAAAGCGAAAGATTAAGCCCCAGCCAGCCGGATCTTAATTCTAATGAGTTTTTCATTCCTAAGTAGACTGAGGGGCGGAGTTTAATTGCAAAAGCCATATTCCTCTACAAAATTTTACCCTTTCAAAACATATTTCACAGGGTAATTCCTTGTGGAGAAATGAGAATTTTGCAACTAAGTTTCGCCCCTCGGCTCACAATGAATAAAAAAATCGTCACAATTGAGAGGGGGCGGGTGGGTGGGGCTTGTATTTTGTCCATTTGTTCTTAATATACGAAGTCATCTTTTCCCAACAAGAAACTGAAAACAAATTTAACTATCGTATTTTGTTTAAAGAAAACTATATATTAAGAAAAAAAAAGATTAACGACGGCCTACTCGTCCCGATCACAATTGTGATGAAATTTCTAATGGTTGTTAGACCGAGGGGCGGAGCGTAATTGCAAAATATATATTTCCCTACAAAAATTTTACATTTTGTACTTGTTTTAAGTTTCTTGTTGTGAAAAAAAGGCAACGTATGATAAAAAGAGCAAAATATAAACCCCGCCCACCCACCCTATCTCAGTTGTGATGATTTTTTTATTCGTCGTGCGATTCGGGAGTCAAAGCTTAATTGCAAAGTGCTTATTTTTTATAAGACAATCTATGTAAAACATGTTCTTAAGTAAACGTGTTCTTTAAAGAAAACTACACGTTTTGAGTAAAAAAAAGCCAAAGATTAAGCTCCACCCAACCGGATCTTAATTCTGATGAGTTTTTCATTCGTAATTAGACTGAGGGGCGGAGTTAAATTGCAAAATCCATATTCCTCTATAAAATTTTAGCCTTTGAAAACATATTTTTCATGGTAATTCCTGGTAGAGAAACGAGGATTTTGCAACTAAGCTTCGCCCCTCGGCTCACGATAAATAAAAAAATCATCACAATTGAGAGGGGGTGGGTGGGCGGGGCTTATATTTTGTCCATTTGTTCTTAATATACGAAGTCTTTTTTTTCCAACAAGAAATTGAAAACATTTTTCCAACAAGAAACTGAAAACAAGTTTAACTATCGTATTGTTCAAAGAAATCTATACATATTAAGAAAAAAAAAGATTAAGTACAGCCCACCCGTCCCGATCTCAGTTGTGATGAATTTTCCATTCGTTATTACACCGAGGGGCGGAGCGTAATTGCAAAATACAGATTTCCCTACCAAAATTTTACATTTTGAACATGTTTTAAGTTGCTTGGTGTGAAAAGAAGGCAACGTATGATAAAAGGAGCAAAATATAAACCCCGCCCCCCACCCCGTCTCAATTGTGATGATTTTTTTTTATTCGTCATGAGTCGGGAGGCGAAGTTTAATTACAAAATGCTAATTTTTTATAAAAAAAATTGTTAGGTAAAACATGTTAAGTAATCGTGTTCTTGACAGAAAACCACGTTTGGAGTAAAAAAAGACAAAGATTAAGCATTTTTACCATTTTAGACATGTTTTAAGTTTCTGGTCGAAATAACTTTCGATATATTAAGAAAAAAAAGGTAAAATATAAACACCGCCCACCCGCCCTATCCCAGTTGTGATTATTTTTTCTATTCGTCGTGAACCGGGGGGGCGCATCTTAATTGCAAAATTCATATTTCTCTACAAAAATTTACCATTTTGAATCTTGTTATGAAAAGAAGATTACATATATTTAAAAAAAAACAAAAGGCTAAATATACGCCCCGCCCACCCGCCCTATCGCAGTTGTGATGATTTTTTTTACTCGTCGTGAACCGGGGGGCGGAGCTTAATTGCAAAATTCGTATTTCTTTACAAAAATTTACCATTTTGAACATGCTCTAAGTTTCTTATTATAAAAAGAAGATTACATTAAATATAGTTAAAAAAAAACAAGGCTAAATATAAGACCCGCCCCCCCGCCCTATCTTAATTGTGTTGATTTTTTTTTATCGCCAAGACCCAAAGGAGAGGAATTTAATTGCAAAGTTGGTATTATTTCTTTATAAGAAATTACCATGTAAAACATGTTTTTGAGTATCGTTTTATTCAAAGAATACTATGTATATTAAGAAAAAATTAAAGCCAAAGATTAAACTCCATCCATACCTGCTCTGATCTAAATAGTAATAAAGTTTTTATTAGTTGGCAGACCTAGGGGCAGAGCCTAATTGTAAAATCCGACGTGTCCTTACAAAAATTTACCATTTTAAACGTGTTTTGAGTTTCTAAGAAAAAAAATCATCACAATTGAGATGGGGTGGGTGGGCGGGGTTTATATTTTGCCTTTTTGTTTTAATATGTGCAGACTTCTCTTGACAACATCAAACTTAAAACATGTTTAAAATGAAAAACTTTTATAAGAAAATATCGATTTTTTAGGCTCCACCCCATAATTGCAAAATCCATATTTCCTTGCACAAATGTACCATTTTAACCATGTTTTAACTTTCTTGTTGTGAAAATATGACTACATATGTTAAGAAAAAAAAAGGCACACAAACGATAGACAAAAGATAGGCTGGCAAACAGGCAGACGGAAAAGGGAGACCTAGTTTTTTTAGTCTATGGGTCATGAAACCTCGCGAAAACATGAAAGTAGTCTCCAACCCAATAGACCGCATTACAATAATTTCCTTATTAACTTGATGACTTTTGAAGTTGACGACCTGATATCTAATTGAATGACATTTAATCAAGTGTCTGCGTAATCAGTTTAAATGTTAAAAACTTTTTTTTAATCTCGTCTGTGAAGTTTATGAGATTGTTCAAACAGTGGTTAAATAAAACTTTACTGAGGTGGGATATTGCATGTGCTTCCGTAATATCTTTTATTTTTAACGGAGTTAAATAAAGCTTTTGATGTGTTTTGTCTCTTGCTAAGCATCCCTACAAACAAGTTACCCTTGGTTAAATAAAACTCCAGACACCTGAGAAAAACATTACGCGTCTCGTATTTTATTTTACAAGCGACATCTCACTGTCATTGTTTTCCTAATTATGTAGAACAAGAACGAGTTGTTTTCTCGTTAAATTAAATTAGGTATTTTTTTTTTAATTCTAAATAACACTGAATCATTACAGAAGTGAAGAAAATTTTCATTTTACTAAGGCAAAAATGTGAAGAGTGTTGTTAATATTCGAAATATTTGTTGGAAAAACACCGTACAAATGTAATAGATTAATAAGCTTAACAGAGTAATCAACTTTTTATTTTATTCTACCTTCCAAACCATAATGCACAGTTTTAAAATAACTTGAATTATTTTATTTTGCTTGTTAATCTTACTGTAGCTCAAGAAATTTAAATATAGAACAGCAAAAAATAAATATCAAGAACAAAAAATGTAATTGTTAAATTTACCTTATTTTATGCGGATCTACACAAATTCTTTTTCATACAATAAAATTCTTCTAAAAATTGTAAAATTATGTGCAGACTCGTAAAGTCAAAATTTTAATTAATGAAATACACGAAACTTGACGTATGGATCAATTACAATTAATTTTCTGTAAATAATTGTTGATTT